TGGAACTTAAGTGATGTGAAAAAAGCTTTTGTGGAAATTTGTATTTATATTAGGAAAGAGATTAGGCAAAATAAGGGGTCACTAAATTGAATGACGAATGTGAATAAATTGAATTGAAAGATGGTGGGAGAAGAAGAGAAGGTTTAAAAAATTCAATTTGTTGAATTAAAATAGAGGTTGAAAATATAGAGTTATTGAAAAATAAAGGGGGAGATGAAGAGAAGTTCATTGAAAATATAAGAAAAGGGGTTAAGGAAGGAGAATGATGAAAGGTAAAAGGGAAAGAGGACATGTGATGGCACTTTTATAGATGGGTGGAGTTCAGTGTTTAAATTCTTATCCCCATGACCTTATTTTTCAATCTTTATCCACTCCAGCCTCGTAGTTATAATATAAAAACATCAATGTTTTATCTCCCACTTAGGTATCCATACCTACCAAATCCTCATCTAGACCTGCCTGATCCTCGCCTTAAACCTGCATAAATATACTTATATGAACATTCTTTATTAACGAGAATATGTAACAATTAAAATTTCATTCACTAATAAAAAATATATAATAAACCAGGGAAACACAAGTTATATAAAAGAGTTGTGTACTTTTGATTTACTACGTTCTTAGTTTTAATTTTATTGGTTATGGCCTTATGTATGAATTTTGATTTAAATGTATGTAACCTCCAGGTAATTAAGGCATTAAACCTTGAGAAGTTGAGAGCACCTACAATAGTGACTAGTAGAGTAGTAGGTGTTGTCAACTACAAGTTGACCTCTAGCAATCACGTTACTGATCCTCTTTACATATCACATATGTGACCCTTTGTCGTGCCCTGGGAATAATTGATGTAGGCATTAGAGGAGTTTAAATGTATACTATTGCTTAATACAATTAATAGCAATAAAATTAGGTAATAAAAAACAAATCATGTTTTTTTAATTTTATTTAATTTTTTTTTTGAAACAAAACAAATCATGTTTATTAATTATACAAATTAGTACTTCGTATATTCTCTCTAATCTCTATTCCTATTTTATTCTTACATGCCAACATTATTTTATGGTCACTATTTAAAAATTTTGACCATAAAAACTTACTAGCTACCATAACATCAAAATCATATCATGTAGGATATTATTAAATCTGGTTTGAAATATATTTTTTTTTGTAGATTCTTTACCATTATCTTGCTGAATATATTAGGGGCCAAAGATGTACACGAGAAATTCTAAAATTCAAAACGTGAAGAATAAAAAGAGGAATTCTCTACCTATAATAATTTGAGTTATGCATGACTCTAATAACACGCATTGGTTTAAATTATACTTTAGATGGTATTATCATGATACCAAAATACTTATTCAGTAGTACCAACGAATGCAAAAATATTTTGTTGGTATCAATATAATCCCTTGTTGGTATTTAGAAGATACCATCTAAACATAATTTAATACCAACACCAATTTTTAAATGAGCTAGACCCACGGGCAAATTAAGAAAAAGCCCCCATTTGAGTATTCAAAGCCTCAAATTATTTGGGGCAGAGAATTTCCCGAATAAAAAGGAACCGAGGTAGTAATTGTACATTGGCACGTGTATCTGTCAAACTGTTGCGATTATTATGAACTGGGGGGAGTAATATTTACCAAATTTACCATAGTACCACATGATATAATTTGTTCGCCTAAACTACCAATCTAGTGTTTGTTTGTGTCATCTTATTTTAATTAACTTATTTTAGTAAGAATAAGTTTAGATTATTTCTAATAAAATAAAATAAAATAATAAGTTCGGATTATACAATGTAAAATAAAATAAAATACGTTCAGATAATAAATAAAATAAGCTGACATAAAATATGTTCAAACAAATCAAGTTCGAAATATTCAAATACATAAATTTAGACAAGATGCATTTAAATTTAATAATTTCAGACTAAATCAAATGAACCAAATAGAGCCTTACCATAATACAGAGTTCCATATGATATAACTTTGCTGGCATATACCAATCATGTACTCCCTTTATTTCAATGTAAATGCTCTATTTTGATTTGGCATAATAGTCAATACAAATTTTGCTTAATAATAGGACTTTTTGTCAAAAACTACCTAATAAAACCAAGATTTTGTGAGAAACTACCTAATAATATATATGTTGTAATAAACTACCTAATAAAGGTAAAATGTTGTAAAAAAACTACCTAAGAAAAGGTAAAATGTTGTAAAATACTATCTATACCGGATTTGCACCGTTGACCGACCTTAAAACACTCTCGAAACCACTGCTTTCATTCCCAAAACTAACAAAACTTGTTTGAAATCTCCTCCACCACGCCTAAACCACTTTTCAACCCCAAAACCACTACCTCTAACCCCAAAAACCACCATCCCGAAGCACTAATCTACCCTCACCAACTCGGAATATCCTCCAATCACCTCGAAAATAATCTTACCACCTTGAAAACTAACCCTCACGGTGGTTTTGGGGGTGTTTTAGGTGGATCAATGTCATAAAATTAAGTCAACGGTTGAAATTCGGTCAAAGGTAAAATCTTACAACATTTTACCTTTTATTAGGTAATTTTTTACAACATTTTTTTTATTAGGTAGTTTCTCACAAAATTTAGGTTTTATTAGGTAGTTTCTCACAAAAAGTCCTTAATAATATTTAATTGTCGGTAAGTAAAAATAATTAAAAGTTGATATTTGATAATATGCATTGAGATGATTCCAACAAATACCCATATGATCTTAAGTATAAGCCACTAACTTTGGTCTAAGAGAATTATGTAGATAGTGTAAAAAGTTAAATTGGAGCATTTATTTTGAAACAAATATAATGGAGTAATAAAACACCCAATAAAAATGTTTTTAATAGAAAGATTCAAATAAATAAATAAAAAAAAAAACCAAAACAAATGAGGAGCATGCCCTAGTTTATCTTTATGATAAACAATAAGTTTATCTAATGGTATTATTGTAAATGCGAAACAGTGAGATGAGTAATAAATATTATTTTTATTTGTTTTATCTTACATAGGTAAAGGTAAGTAAAGTAACGGAAGGTTGGCATTAACTTCATCTTCCTTCCTCGATCCCCAGATTCCCCACCCAAGCCACCTTTCATCGACACCACCATTTCCGACACCACAATCTCGTGTTATATAGTGTTAATTTCATTGAAGGAGCTCAAGTTTTCCTCCACCTTCATCTTCTTCATTTTCACCCACCATTCACCGACACTATCATTTCCGACGACACCGACACCTTCATATTCTTCGCCTTCACTAACATGTCCACCACTATTTTTGGCGGTTTTGCCGCCGAATTCACCGAAAACCCTAAGAAAAAGGAGAAATAAAAAGCATGGTCAACCCCAAAAGTTAGACGTAACGCGCCCCTCCATTAAAGTTTCCCTTGAGTTTGAATTTTTCCTTCGAAGCTTTTGACATTTCCATTAGTTGAAAGTCTTCGAATTCAGGATTTTCCAATAACGACATTCTACAAGCATAAAAGTGTTAAGTTCTTTTACAGTTGAAGTACAAAATTACCCATATTTAAATACATGAATAGACAATTATACCCTTAAAGATTTAGTTTATCATGAAGATAAACTTGTATTCTCCCAATTAATGGAGTAATAGCTACACCAATAAGGCTATTCCCAAAGGCCATATGCGTGACAATGGGTCCGTGGGCACTAAATGTGAAACATTAATTGAAAGAAGCTGTTAAGTACTTGTGAGTTGTGATTGTTGTGAGAATTGATAAGTGTCATTAAATTTGAACAATATCCACTCTCACACCTACTATATCTCTCTACTTGACAATCACTAAGACCGTTGAGGAAGGTATCAACCATATTTATTTCTAGCTACTATTATTCAAATCACCCTAAGAATTCTTAAAAGAGTAAAAGACCCTAGGCTCCTTAGATTATCGGTAGATTGTTAGATTCCCTTCACCACCATCTCGGCCGTCGCCACTTGTGTGTCGTATTTGTATTACAATATTTTGAAAAAAATAAAAAGAGGAGACTCGTTTGAGGTAAGAGATAAGAAAAATTCTTTTAATGAGTTGTATACTCGTATTATAATATTTAACAAAGAATAAAAATAAGGGAATTGAATTAATCATTTAAGGTGCGAGCTGAGATAAGAAAAGTTCTTTTAACGAGTTGCATTAAATATTGCTTCTAAGTTATAAACTCCACATTTTCAACCATGTGAGAGGATTATAGATGTGACTCCATCAAGATTATAGATGTGACTCATGTAGGTGATTGGCCATATGCCCATACGTAATGAACGAAATTATTTTCCATGCAATAGGCCATATGTAATAAATGATACTCCATATTATTATTCTTAGAATTTTTTTCTTTTATCGAAGCTTCTATTATTTAGCAATAAAATTAATTGTGAATATGTAGATAATAATGACTAATGAGGATAATTTAACATGCTAAGGTTTGATATCTGATTAATAGTTTGTTAGTAATTTCATTTGATTTATAGACGTTACTCCCATCATCTCATAATATATAACAGTACATAGTACAACATTAATTTCAAATTAAGCAATTTATTACTCCTGTCAACATTAATTTCAAAACTACTACTAGGACAAAAAAAAAGTTTACTCCATATTGTTTATAAACAAGACATCAATAAATGTTCAATTGTTCAGTATATATTACAGAGTATCATAATTTATTCATATGGAATAAAAGTAAATACAGGCACAAATTATTATTTTCAAGGATGAAAAATACATGTAGGCATACATTTTAAGGAAAAAAATAGGGTAATTTGATTAAAAAAATTATAGCATTAATCTCTTAAAAAAAAATTATAATTGAAATATAAAAATTTAAACATGAATAATAATTTTGAACATTTGTACAAACAAAAACTATATTATGAGAAGAAAGAATTACAATTTATTAACTTCAACCATATACAGAATATTTTTCAGCTAACATGCATGTAGGTTAGCCTCATTAATTGCCTTGGATTTTGACATAGCTAGTGAATTTTTTTTATTTTTATTTATTTATTTATTTTTTTCATTTCAAACATAGCTAGTGATTTTGGAAAGAATAACTTACCAATTTAATGATCTACTAGTAGAACTTTTACTTTCAAGGAGCAGAGCTAACATGAACTTTTTATGTGTTTTTTTAATTTAATTTTAGAAAGTTGAGCTAGCTTGGACTTTGACTTCAATCAATCAAATGCATTGATTAAAATATTCATTGGCATGTCAAATAATAAAAATTTAATTACATCTCTGTAATAAAAAAAAAATCAAAATTCACGTTATTATTAGTACAAGAAGCAACTATTACAAAAATTAAATATATCTGTAATAAAGATTAAGAGTATATCTATATTTCAGCTTACGAGTATTAAACAGCCTACGTATTATATTACTATATATGAACCCAAACTTACACTATAATAGTAACCCCAACTTTAATTTTAATTGTGAAATTAAACTAATAACAAATCGACACAATGTCGTATATTTGATCGTATATAAATATATAATTATAATTACTCCCCATTTACCATGACTTAAGTGGGTACCTATCAAAACAATCGTACCAAGGATTGTTGTGATCATAATTTGAATCTTGTAACGCTTTCCATACCAAACTTCCAACTTTAAATCCTGTCCCAAATGCAATCATCCAAACTTTATCCCCTCTTTTGATCCTTTTCTTGGCCTCAAAATAAGCCAACTCGTAAAACACTAGGCTACTCGACGTGTTCCCAAACCGATGTAGGGTCATCCTCGCCGGCTCAGTCACCACGTTGGGTAACTTTAATACCTTCCCTACTTGCTCAATTACCGCCTTGCCGCCCGTGTGGATGCAAATGTGATCGAATGCGGTTGTGAAGTCGGGCACTATTGGTTTTGACTCGCCTTGAGTCAACACCGAGAGTGCCACCGATTTCACGTACTGAACGAGTTGACTTACTGGGAGGACTCTTGGTGCAAGGGTGGTTAAGTGGGCCCGTAAGTTTTGACCCGCCACTCGAATTAAATCTTTGGTGAGTGAAACTCCCGTGTTGCCCTTTGTGTCTTCCTCTTGGAATGCTGCCTTGTAGGAGCTATCGTCGGCCCCGTGGTGGGTCCGAAGCGAGTGATCGAGTAGGAACTTGGCGTTGCGGCGGCGATTTGGATCGTTTGTAACTATCGCCGCCGCGCAGCCAACTCGAAAAATGCAATTAGTCACCAACATTGACCTATCCTCCCCATAATACCAATTAAGACCAATATTTTCCGTGACTACGACAAGGGCATTTTTGACATTTTGCCCCGTGCCTCTTAAAATATGGGCAGCCATATCGATAGAAAGAATCCCACTCCCACACCCCATCCCACTAAGATTGTATTCTTTTACAGTAGGGTCCATATTATAATGATTAATCAATAACGAGGTCAAAGAAGGTTCGGGTGAAAAACTACCACAAGTAACAATAACAATGTCAATATCCTTACAAGGATCAATCCCGGTCGTCGATAAAAGAATATCGACGGCCGAGAACATACCCTCCTTAGCCTCTAACAATGCAGAGTCTAAGGTCCCCTTATTAAGCCCTTGAAACATAAAAGGAGGGCCATAAGTCTCCTCTCCTAAACCCGACTTCATGTAAATAGAACGCATAAACTCAAAACTCTTATCGGAAAAACAATTAGTTTTTTTCACAAAATACTCGGCTACATCAAAATTACACTTCCGTTCCACGGGAGGTTTATAACAAGAATAATCGAGGAGAAGGATGGGGTACGGCTTAAAGAAAAAGTAGTAAATAGCGTAGAATAAAATTAAAGGAAAAAACACGGAGAAAATAGAGAACGGAGGAATGTAGGATAACAATATTAGAGCTAAAAATGAGGCTTGAAGAAATATTTGAGTGTATGTCAAGGATAATATCTTCATTTTTGTTTTCTTATTATATGTTATAACTATAAGAAAATATGAGTGAAAAAAATGGAAGAATTTGTAGAGAATTTATATAATTGTAAAGAGAGAATTTGAGTGTATAAATTGAGAAGCATGCAAAGAGGTTGGGTAGACGTGCAATAACTACGTCTTGATTATTCGGTTTTTTTACAGTTGGAAAAATATGTACGGCGATTAATGGCTGGCTTCAGTGCGTATCTATATATGCCGACCTTTTCGCTATTTTTGGTGCAAATCTTTAATTTTCTATGCACATGAAATCAAATGGGTTCAACCTTTTAAAAGTAAATATGGAAATTTGGAAACATTTAAGTAATTTTCTTTGAGAGAAGGGTTTACTAAATTTGAAATTTTATTCATGCCATTTGTAAAGATAATTTGTTGTTATAAATATATGCTTACTTGTCATTTTATGAAGTTGTTCTCTTTTTTGGAAATTTGCATAAAAAGAAATACTTGTATGAATTAAGTTGAGTGAGTGGTTGTGGACCTTGTGGTTACTTTTCTAGTAGATAACTAGAGCTAGAATCTTACTATAATTAGCCCTATAGTGGACGAAGTTAGCCGGTTAGGGCTTAAGAGCTTAAGGTAATTATATTTATTCCATCTGTTTTTAAATAAATGCAAGCAATGATGAAGTATCACTTGTGAGCGATTTAATCGATCATGAGTTACAGGATTAGGATATGCAACGAATTGAACACGCATTTAATGAAGTTGATGTTCACAGCATCCTAGCTATTTCCTTGAGCTTAAAAACCGGCCCTGACTCTGTTGCGTGGGCTTTCTCCATGGATGGCTACTATTCTGTAAAAACCGCATATATGCTAGCTAGGGAAGTCATGTAATCTCGATCTTTTCCACAAAGCATGGGTTGATATCTGGAATTTGGAAGTTACATTGAAAGTCCGTCATTTCTTGTAGCGCATCTGTACCGGAATTTTACCTGTGCGTGCCTATCTCAAATCCAGGCACATGACCAACTGTTCAGACTGTGGTGCATGGGTTGTCTAGAAACGTTGCAAAATGCTTTATTTTTTTTTACTATCCTTCTGTTCGTGAGTTATGGTTGGAATGCGATTGCACAGAAATTAAATTTTGGCCTTCTGGTATATGTCCTTGGAACTAATAGAATCCTGGTGCAGACTGGAGAAGAAGAAATTCTGCAGGGGTGCTATTTTGTTATAGAATTTGTGGACTAGGAGGAACGACATGGTGTTCAATGGCAAAGACACCTACCACCTAGTGATCATAGATCGTGTGTATCGACTTGCTATTTGTTTCGGGGTTTTTTTTGATGTGTCCTGCGGGAGAGTTACAATTCCTAGTATGTGCCACCGACGCCTGTACCTGCAAAACCACGAAGACTCCGGTTGGTGGGAGCTCCGCCTCCGACGATCTAGTCAGTAACGTACAGGAGGTAATAAGTGCAGAAATAGTAAATACTCCTCGCTAATACAGGAAGATTCTGCAATTAATATTGCTCGGGATTGGTGTTTGTATTTATGAATGCCCAATAAATGAGGTCTGACCCACTATTTATAGTGGGGAGACAAGTACCCCATCTAGGGTTCAAAGGACACGTGTCAATAGGGGATTGACGCCCTGTTGACCTATGGCTGGCTGCCATGTGTCGCAGGGCCATTGGGCCACGTGTCTAGGGTAATGTTTACCTTAAACATTTTCCCCTCTTAGGCGCTGACGTGGCAGTGCCACGTGGCACCTGAGACACACACACTTCTTCCTTTTTTTTTTTTTGAATTTGAATTCGAATCTTGGAAGTTCAAAGGGCAGAAGGTGAAAATGCGCGAGGGTTCACCTTCTGAGGATTGCCTATAAATAGCAAAACTCCTCTCTCATGTTCACATTTACAACCTTGAACAATTTTCAAAGATTTTTAGAGTAGGCGGTATTGAGAGCAGACTTCCTCTGAATTCTACCGAGTGCACATCCGGTATTTTCTGTCTTTTTTAGAGAATCTTCTACCGTCTGCGTGTATTGTGAACAACATCTCAAATTTGCAGCTGCTACTTCAGAGAACACATCCGGCTACGAGGACGCCTGAGTCTTTGCAAGCCATTTGAAGTTTTTCCAGCCTGGTTAAGCGGTTTTCTCCTCTTCTCAATTAACTTAGGTACCGCCTCTATTCTCTCTAGCTCTTCCATGTATTTACGTTTGTGCTTCTTTCTTGCTTTTTTCTTTATTAGTTCAATAAGTAGATGGACTCTTTATACCCACACCCGGAATATAGTTTTGAGACCAACCGGTCCCTCAGCACGGCTGAGTCTAGGGCTGGGGATGCCGCCTCTAGGTTTTAGAATCTTTCTTGTTCATCTCCCAATCCGACCATCTCCGTGTCTGTGCAGGACACAATGGCCAGAACAAAGAAGACGGTTATGGATCCCAATTATAGAGGCGGAAGCTCAGAAGAGTTGCCGCCTGAGGAGAGGATCCCAGATGAGATAACAAGGGGATCTCCCAGAGGCACCCCAAGCGATGGAATTCTAAGGTCCTATAGTGGAGGTGGTGAGGAAGCCACCTCTGTTTCTGGAGCTGAGGACCAAGAACCCTCAGCAAGAAATGAGAACACCACTTCAAGTTCGGGCTTTGAGTCCGGCTCTGATGAGGGTGACCGCAAAAGCAGCTATCTCATGACGTCTGTGGATAGCGAGGAGGAGGAGAGGCCTTTATGGAACACCAAAGGCGATCCTCTCATGATCTCCGTCTCTGCAAAAGACAGGGCTAGCATGTAGAGAAACCTAGCCGACTTCGTACTCAAGCGGCCCTTAGGAGAAGGGTATAAATTAGTCGTCCCGCCTGAGATGGGGACCATTGCCTGGAAGGACAACGAGCGCAATGCAGATGACTTTTTTGGCAACTATGAGGCGTCTTTTTTAGCGAGGCTCCGCTTCCCCCTTCACAACACAATAAAGGCCATACTCAGGGGTTATGGCCTAGGCGTCTGGCAACTTACCCCCAATTCTTGGGTAAACATTTTGGGGTATATTGCCGCCTGCGAAATGCAGAACCTGAACCCTGGCTGGGAGGCTTTCGCTCACATGCACTATCTGAGTCGGAGTCCAGGCGGTTGGAGGGCCTAGTACCTGATGATGCTTGACAAGTCGTCAAAGTGGTCCAATTGGAAAAACCACTTCTACTTGGTCAAAGCCCCGACCAATGAAGAGAATCGAGAGCTCCGGAGATACAACCGGAAGCCTGAGCTGCTTGGGCAAAAATGTAAAATGCCCACAATACCGGATGGGGACTATGAAGTGATCATAGAGTCCGGATTTTTCGAGCTCACCACTTTCACCATCTCAATCAGAGAAGTTATCAGCGTACCCAAGAATTAGGTACCTAAACATGAGTTCCTAAGGGACGAGGCGTTCTTGTCCGCTTGCGGGCTAAGCACCATGTTCAAAGATAAATGTAGGTTGAGAGCCTCAGCCGACAAATTTGTACCGGATGTATAATTTTTCTTTGCTCAAATGTTTTTTGGAACTTTTCTAACCAAGCGTCTCTTGTTGTTTTGCAGCTGAGGCCAAAGGTATGTTGCCATCATACAAGACGCCTGCCAAGAAGGCCTCGGATATCCGCAAGGAGAACGCGGAGAAGAAAGCTGCCCAGGCGGCTAAAAAATTAAGTCTGCCTGACCTTATTGCGTATTGCTTGTTTTCTCTTTTATTCCCAGCTGTTTCAGATCTATCCATCTGACCTCTTTTTGCCTCGTTTCAGGATGGGAGCAAGGTTACTCACTCTCTTTCCAAACAACACCGGCCAAAGCCGGATGGGGAGGAGCCTGCTCCTAAAATTCAAAAGACCTCACACAACGATCGGCTGACTGTCGGCGGCAAATCAGTGAAGAACACCGGGATGGGGCTCGACCTTTCCCATAGAAGGACGGATGCCCCTCCCTCCCTGCATACAACAGGCGGTACATCCGCCGGAAAAGGCCCACATGGCCCTCAAGAGACCCAAGGTACGGATGACCCATTCAATCTTACTCTGCTTGGCCTGCCCATGCGGGTCAAGTCTTACTCCCAACTCCAGCCGGATGACTCGTCATCCAGCCGGCACTTTATTGGAGGGGCGTTTGCTTCTTTCTCACCGTCTATTTCTGGTGCACTTTATTGGAGGGGCGTTTGCTTCAATCTCCTCGTTGGCCGGACGTGACACAATACGCTCGGGCCATGTTGAAAGCCGTCCCTAGGGACGAGAAGGAAGCGATCCCTGGGATCAACGCCTTCAATGCTGACCGTGTGATGGTCAGCCTGGCTGAGGTATTCTTCTACATCCGCCTCTTTTTTACACTGATCTCATGGTTATCCGGTATTTTCTAACACTGACTGTGTCTTCGCAGTCTTTGCTGCGCGTAGAGGGGCTGAAGAAGGCCTATGTACGCAAGTAAGAGGAGGTAAAAAGAGCCAAACCAGACGCCAATGACGCCCATAATGTAGCTCAGTATTCAATGATTGTGCATGACTTAGAAACTAAATATATAATCATGCAACAGGCGGACCAGGTCAAGACCCTTCAAAAGGCCCTCAATGAGTCCAAGGTTAAGATGGAAAATCTTCAAGCGTTGCTGGATAATGCCGTATGTCATGAGAAATGGGGTTTCACCGGTTGCCCCCTTTTCGGTTGTTCTGATGGCCCAAAGGACGTGAGGTAACTCATCCGCCCAAAGGCCGCCAGCTCTCTCAACTTTCTTTTTTATGCCATTTGAGATGAGTTTGTTGAAGGCTTCAACTTGGCCATTTGCCTGGGGCTGGCCAACGGATGCAAAATGATTTGAGATCCCTTGATCTCCCAGCCAACTCTTGTGAACAGGTGTTTCAAACTGAGGGCCATTGTCAAAGACCATGGACATGGGAACCCCAAACCGGGTGATTATGTTTCTTCAGATGAATGAAGTCACATCTTTAGTCTTTATCCCTTTGACCGCCTCTGCTTCGACCCATTTGGTGAAGTAATCCACAGCAACCAGGATGTAACGACGACCGACTGACGTAGGCGTA